GCCAAGATACTCTACCATGCTTACGTATAGGTAATCCATTATCATGCAAGACTGGATTTTAGAGCTATTATTGATATTGGGGAACCCAGAATAAAAATGTCAATTTTGTACAGAGATACAGGCTTTCGGAATACAACTTTTTGGAAAGTAATGAAACTATTAGTGGATAGAAAATTGATCAATGGCTATTTTGATGCTCAACATATGCTTGGGGTGCATTTATTGAAACGAGCTGCAAACACAATGCTTTGAATATTAAGGCTAATGCTGAAGGTACTTTAAAGAATATACTCACATTTTCTAATCTGTCTTCATATAAAACTCACATGCCCATATGTATGTAGGTTAACATTTAGTTATTTATTGCTTTAATCACAACAGTCCATAACTACCATGAAAAGATAGTTCATATTAAAACTCCACAATCCTTATCCAACACAAAATGCATATTAAGTTCAACCTATGTGGCTTCACCAGTTTCAGTTGGGCGAGTGAAGTGCCTACCAAATTCTGTCTTTGTTTAACGATCCCCAAACTATTTCTTAGAAAGGAAAAAGTATCCAGGAAAACATGTACTGTTGGTTGTTAACTTTATTGGCAGGTGTCTCGGCCTATGTTTTTTGTCGCTTACTTGATGTTCCAAAAGGTGCCATTTACAGATGCTATGTTCATGTTTTCATTTAATTTCAAACCTTTATTTATGCAGGTGAATCCCATTGAGATCATTAATCTCTTTTTCATGGGTGACCTGCTGCAAGTCGGTTCCACATGAATACATATAAACATAATAGAAAAACAAAAAGGACATCATACAGCATATTTACAGCGACTACAGTTTACATAGCAAATGTTTTTGCCTTCTAACAAACTCAGGCCCAACGATGAATAATTCACTTGAAAAGGCTGTGTTGAATAAAGGATCAAGATAATAAGGCTTTTAAAAAAGACTCGATTGTAGTTCAGTTGTGCTCCACCTTGAATTACATGCTGGCAGCAAGTTTTTCCTTTGGTCTAAGTACTAACATAGAAGTCACACTACTGTGAAACAAATACCTCATTATTAAGATTAGAGTAATCTTATTGTTGGTCAACATGCTAGCTACTTCTCAGAAGAGGATAGAGCTATGTCTATTGTCTGGTCTGGAACATAACAGGGCTCTTATCACAGAATGCTCTGGGACAGAGGGACCAGAGTTATAAACCTGGAGGATAAGGCTGCACAAAGACACCGCTGACAGACTGCCACTCCCAGAGGGCCCGAACCATCAACACCAAAACAAATGCTACACATCTACAGTCATTCTGATGCAAATATCTTCTGCCAGTGTATAGGAGTATAGGAGAAATAGTAAGAGGAAAAAAGATAACACTGCATATATGCAATTAAATGGTGATAAGAGGGATACTCCCACATCAAATAATTGTTTGTCTGAAGCCGTTTCATCTGAAAAATACAATTTACATCTCGAAGCTAGAACAATACAAACACTAAAATATGAGTTGTGTTAGCATATTGCAACATGCTGCTTGTTTTAAATAATGATTTACATAAAGACACGGGTATGTACATTGTGCAACACTTCGATTGACACATGTATTATTGTGTAATTGTATGTTTATGCATTCATGTGTGAATGAGTGTAGCTTACATAGAGTTACGCCTCAAAAATTAACCAAGTGTGCATCCAATTAAATTAAGGTCACTTCTATGTTGGCAGCGGTCTAGAACCTCATTATTTCCCTTTTAATCATTTGCTAGTGAAACGAGTCGTGCAGTCAGCGGTGAAATTTCCAGATGTGCTGCGGCGTTAGACCTGCATCTTAGGCCAGGTGGCTAGCTCATGGTCTAACCCGTTTAAAAAGACAGCGAGATGGAGAGAGTCAGAGAGGTGAGATGATAGGAGTTGATAATTGGAGTCAAAAAAATGAAGGAGACTTTAAATGAAGGGCAGGAAGGAGAAACATAATCTTAAACAGAGGTAAAAATGAAGGTAGGGGAAAACCTGCATCCTTAGTTTTGATGGGCTGGTGAAACTTCAGACCTGAGTTACACAGCCAGTGAGACTCATTAAAACAGGGTTGTGCAGTCATTATAACAGACCTAACATGTATATTTTCATTCATTACGCCTTCAAAAAGATGGGCTGTTGGATCATTTCAATTATTCCTCTTCAAATATCAGCAATCTTTCTACAGAATTGCAAAGTCCAATCTTTAAAACGTACCAAGATCTCTATTCATGCTTTCATTTGCAAAGCTGCTTTGTATACAAAACAATTACATTTGGCAATATTGTTAACGGGTTACTTTTGAAGCCTGTTACCACTAAAAAGGACAATAAGGCAAGAGAAGGGCAGCATGTTGTTGGCATAATGTAAAAAATCAGTAATGATGATGGTGTGTCAAGGAGACATAAGGCAGAGAGAAGAGAGACAGATGACAGTCAGTAAAAGAGCTCACTGGGAACAAAGTTTTCCTGAACAGATCAATTTTACATAAGCGATTTCAACCCAATGCCCTTCCGCTGCCAACTGGGAGTGTTTTTCACTTCTTTGTGCAACTTGGTGTCTCTTTGTGTATTTCTCTGTAATTAAATGGGTTTCAGTGTGCCTGTGAACCATCGTTTTCCACTGTGTGATGCTAAAAGCAACTGACGAGTCACAGACCTATCCATTAGCACACCATTTCCGTCATCATGTGACAAACTACAGTGGTGAGCAGGGATCAGAGCGTATGGTGTTGTGTGTTAATGGATTTTGGGATGGATGGAGTCATTCAAGAGAGAGATTTATAATCTATGGTCGAGGACTCAGAGCATTAAGACCATTGGATGTTTAATCCTAATCCAGGAGCTAAAACCTTCGTTGTGTTGCAACACTGAGTGCGTGTCTAACACATCCATTATTTTACAACATGTTGAGCACAATTTACCAAGCATTGCATATTTTCAAATGTGTGTTTCTTTCTCCAAATAACCCAGTCTTAATTTTAGTCCCATGTTAGCATTTTCAGTGAACGAACGGCACAATTTGTGACACATTTGCGCATAACTGAATATGAACTGATAATGCTGAACAAGGCCATTAAAAGTACTTGTACCATAAACTTTGTGATGAGAAAATGTAAAGTCTGGGGAAGAATTAAGTATTGCTGACCATGGAAAAAATACAATGCAAGCCGACTGTGTCTGTGAGGGTGAAAGAGAATACATTAAAGAGACAGAGGGATACGATGAGAGAGATGAGGCGTTGCATTGAAATCAAGCAGATATTATTACAGCATATTTGCCAGGTGACTTCACCCTAAGCAGAGAGGGTCAGAAATATGGGGAATATGGATTGAATTATATTTCTGCTGCACATGAACACAGGGCTGCTGGATCTTCTATATAGAATAATAACCAAAACAAAATGTCCACTACCTCAGGAGTCTCATTCACTCTATCATCTGTCTACACAGCTGTGTGGGCCCTTGTCACAGATCATGTTTCTATCTCAGGAAAACTACATTTTCCGATTTAGTCTCATTTGAATATTGTCTGGTGTTTCCCTTGAAAGACTAAAGCTGCGTATCAATGGTACAGTGAATGTAAACATACAAGGCCAACAGGCGGCTAGCTGGTTCTTTAATCCCCACGCACAAATACTCGTGAGCAAACCTATTTGCCTGCCAACAGTCGAACGTGACTCGCCATGACACCCAGGGGAAAAAATCATACTGTTGGGAGTGATGTGTGTGTGTTAGTTTTTTTGTAGAAATTTGGAGGGAATATAAATCAATCAATCAATCAATCTATCTATCTATCTATCTATCTATTTATCTATCCATCTATCCATCTATCAATCTATCAATCTCGAGCCATGATTTCCACTTTCATCATTTCATTGTTTCTACAGCATTTCTTCAAAAGTAAGGTCACTTAAATAGACAGAGACCTCCTCAACTTGTTGGTAGTTTTTTTATGAATTGGAAACAAGAAAAAGAAAAGCCCTACATATTTTCTACTCAGTTGGAAATTGTAAGACTTGTCTTTGCCATGTCTTTTGCAGTGCTTCAAAAGACAGAACACGATGACCCACCATGAGACAGCCACACTGTCCATAAAAGAAAGTTGAGGCCTCCTGTCATGGGAATCTATGCTCTGAATCTCTCCATTTAGGGTGCCATTCGTCATTCCTCCCTTGCTCCTTCCCAAAGAGATGACCACTGACGGATCGGTACAGAGATGCGAGGAAAGAAGCAGGTTTGATGTTTGCACATGGTGAAAATACGTTCACACCGTTTGCCCTAAATAGACTCACACATGCACATATAGAGGGCATTTCTTCAGAAAAGTAAGGTAAGGTTAGCAACCCAGATGCACATGATGATGCTGATTATGATGGGATGGAGCTTAGTACAGAGTTAGAGTCATGCATGCACATCTAATTGCAAACAAATAATTAAACATTAATGCAGGGACAAGTGTGTATTTAAAAATAACTCTAAGTGTAATAAATGGTATTATTTCAAAAGACACAGCAGATCCAACAAAAGTAAATTCAGGGTGCAGAAAGAGGTGTATTTCAAATAAATGTAAAATATCACATTTGTCATTCAAAGTTTCCAAAGCAGTGTTATTCAATTGAATTTGGTGACTCAAATGTTACTGATTCTTTTCATTACTGAATATTTTTTTTTTTAATGTATGTGTCATCCTTACATCAAAACAGATTTGTTTAGCAAAACAGTGCCTGTCGTTTGGTTAGTAAAGCAGAAGTTGCCTAATCCTTCCAACAAAGATCACAACCTGCTATTTAATTACTTTAATTAAGTAATAACAGATAAGGACCAACATAAACTCACGTCTAGATTATCCAAAACACGTGCAAAACCACTGCATGACAAAAAGGGATTTTGTCATTAAAAGCACCCATTTGTTAGTCTGAATTTATCCAAACAGACCCATGCACTCACTAAAGAAGAAACAAAGACAACTTTATCACTTTCTTAAATCCTACCTTTGATAAGCATGGCCGCACAAATATAAAATCCAACCGAACATGGTCCCCAAAACTTCATCCTGGCAGCGCTGTGTGGACTCGGCCGGCCCCCGGCTGCGGGCTCTCAGTGTCGGGCAGACAGGGAATCAACTCCGGCTTGTCGGTGATGTGAACATGAGGCTGGAGTAGACGAAGAGGAGGGAGACGGAGTGTGTGAGATCAAAAACACTGACAGACTGTGGAGTAGTTGAGATTGGCGCGTTCACGCTGCTTCACAAACACATTCCCTCACACAGCGCTGCACGGGGGCGCGCGTCCGAGCTGGAGTTAGCCAGAAAAATGGCTGCTATAACTTAACAGGTAGAGCCAGCCAGCGATGACAATAATACAGTAAAGTTTATGTAATATCTGATAGAGACGATCACTTTCACGTTACGCAGCTAGAGTATCATTGCAAGGTACATTTCGCATTTAATAAGACCTCATCGTGCTTTTCCAAGTCCTCCTAATTGAATGCTGCAGTGATGTAGCCTAGCTTTATGTGATATTTAAATCCGCTCATTGTTCATTCTATATTTGTTATTCCCCTTAAAGAATATGTGTTGTTGCATATTTACGATAACAAGTGAAGTTAGTTTCTAACTAAGCTCCACTAACTTTATAAAGTCAACTGTTTTGTCTCGTGCCCTCACCTGTCTCAAGACGTAGACAGAGAGCACGTGTTAGTGTGCAGATGTATGTGAATGCTGATGCTGACCTACACATGATTGCATTGGAGCATGATATACTGTTACCTTAAGGCCCGTATAACTTTGCTTACCGGTTCACAAAGTTCGTTATTACTTGTATTGATGGTCAATGTATGACTTTGTAATACATATATAGCATAGGATGCGTTGCTTCTTTATTTCTGGCAGGGTCACAAAGAGTTTTGACGGAAGGGCAGCAAGCTTACACACCTCAAATACAATAAAGCAATGTTTCCCAGAAGTGTTCAACTTAAAGTGATGTTCATTTATGTCAACATTGTGAAGTTATTAATGCTCTTATCAGTATTGTTAGAATAAAAGGTGCTCAAATAAGTTTATAATATCTCTGATCATCTTAAAGTGAACAACATGTCTAGCACCTAACAGCAGACACACAAAGTTAGTGACCAGCTGGTGAATATAGTCGTGCATTGTAAGTATAAGAGATAATTACAATTATCATGTGGACAGACACATCTCCAAATGAATGATAATGTTGTTCTGTATCTACTTTATTAAAAATAAGAAATTATTTGGAAACACAATCGCCACGTCTGCGTTTTAAAATTCATAATGGGTCAATATGTTTACAGCTTCCTGAGCTGCCCCTCAATTACCAAAAACAATTCATTATGGTTTTAATAAAGGTAATGCACAGTTACATCCAAAACAGACACATCTCACATCTTAGTTTTTCTTGGAGCAGGTCACAACCATACTCTGGAAGTGGGTCTGATCACCACCCAGCCCTCCTTCTCCCACAGCTGTAGACTCTCAGTTATGAATGCAATGTCCGTCACGCTGCAATTTCCCTCTTTGCTTTTTTTAAAAGAGGTTCATCAACTGCGTTTTTGTTATATTTGTCACCTTATTGTGCCAGCCTGGCTCATAATAAAATGACCTATTTATTCCATTCCACAAATAATTTCAGTCGGAAATAGGATCCGATACGCAATGAGGGGGAACGCTGCACATTTGTGCAAATGTTCTCACCGCCTGGCTTCCTCTCAGTGGAACAGGGGTGTATCAAGCAGTCCCGTGCCATTGGTTTAACAACAGTTCTTGCTTTTTTTCATATCCCAAATGTCTATGTCTTGTGGAGCTCCATCAGAGGAGATTCATGCTACTAGATTTGATTTAGTATGCCATGGTTCAGTGAAACCTGATCACAACCTTTATCCTTTTACTTGCTCTACCAAGGAGCCAACTGGGTAATCAAAAATTGTTTTACTTAAATTATCAATAAGTAAACTGAAGTTTAATGAAGAGCTCTCCATATTGCTGAAATTGCGTGCAGCACTGTTCTGTGTCAACAGCAGTAATACACAGATGAGAACGGTACAACATGATCAAACAAGACAAATAATCCATCCATACATCATATTTCTCCCACTTATGTTGATGTAACCATGATATGTAAAAAATACTGCCTCCAGAAAACTGCCATGAAAGCATCCGTACATGACTAAAGTAAGCTGAGTGTTTTTTAACTATGAAGTCAGGTTTATAATGTGATGGTGATGTCACACACCAGAAAACAATGCACAAAAAAAATGCAGATTATTGCAACCAGCAAACTTGATACATCTGAGACTCTTCTTCAGACTTAGATCTGACCCCTCAATTGTTTTTCACATTGTTTTTTTTTTTAACAGTTATCAATAAAAAACCTCCAGACAGGACCACTTAACTGAAGCATCACAGAGCTTTGGCCCCCAGTTGCCATCAAACTTTATATTTTTAAACATCAACCATCAGAGAAAGTGTATTACTTGTGGACTTGGTTTAAAAATCCACAATGTAGATTTTATACCTCTCAATTCTTAGTGCTTAAAATCAACACATGTTTCCCCAAATGAGGACTGTTAAAGGAATCTGCATTATCTAATTATCTCATTCACTTATTTAAACGCATCAATCCACTGATAGGAGATGAACTGTAGCACAGAGAAAAGGGAGCTGTTGATTTGTTATATTTTATAAATGAGAAGTGTTCTGCTAATGGACTTAAATGTTGTGGAGCCACCATTGCGTCTTTCCTTCTTCTCTCAATCCCTTTTTCTCTTCAACATCCCTCTTGTCCTATTTCTTTTTGTAAACACTAGCCTAAACGTATGTAAACCCGACATAAACAAAAGTTAAAACAGATTAAATCTGCAATGACAATGGTGAAATCTGAAGTTAGTATGATATTTTAAATGCGTATTTGGTCAAACACCCATCTTACCCATGTTCCCAAATCAAATATTAGCCGGTCCCAGCAGGGTGTGATAGAATGGGGTCAGATGAGTTTTAGTTTGTATACCTTTGATGTGTGGAAGACGCAGAGCTTTAACAGCAGCAGAGAGCACAAGGGTCCCAGAGCTGTACAAAAGTCTGTGTACTTGTGCATGCCTTTGGGAATCCACATGTCTGTGTGTCTGCATCCGAAAACTGTGCAGTCATACTTGTCAGGAGGGATCTTCTTAGAAAAAAGTATTCATTTGACAAATGAAAAATCATCTTAGAAACATTCATTAAAACATTTTGTTTAGGTAATAATAATAAATAATAATCCTTATATTTATTATAGCGCTTTATCAATGACTCTGTGTAATCTGTGAATTACGACCCTACATGACTAAATACATCTTGGTTCTTTCCAACGAGCTCCTCCTCTGTTGTCCTGCTGCCAGCCAGCCATTTGTCTCTGTTACCCTGCTGAGGTGATGACTCCAGGTTATTATGGGATATCAAAGAAAGGTCAGACCTCTCACACATAATTATAGGAGTTTACTGTGCAAAGGTCAGCGGTACACACGAGGGTGAGGGAGAAACACAGAGACTTTGATAAAACACACAAGAGGCATGCGATGTAGACCAATACATTGTGTGGGAAGAGGAGTTAGCACAATAACATGTACTAATGTAATTGTCACACCTTCATAGACATACACGTTCAAAATGGCAGCACACTTCTCCTAACACTAGGATGGGTCAAATGCAGAGAAACAATTTCCCCACGAGGGATTAATAAAAAAAAAAAAGTCCATCCATACTTAGAGCTGCTTTGGTTCATGAATAGAATCAGTTTAAATCATTTATGAGTTTTGTTCTGCTGGACCTTTACTTATTGTCTCTCTGCATCAACTCTTTTTCTCACAGCTCTTACTGTAGGTGGACATTTTCATGTGGCTGCTTCTGTGTTTGAGCGAGAGTGTAAATATTACATCAAGCGAAGAAATTCACATGAAGCCTCGTGCTCATATACTTTAAAGGATGTGAGCTTTAATGCAGCACCTTCAAACGTGGAACCTAAATTAATGCTCTTGGGACCTGCTTTGAAATCTCTGAAGTCTAAGCAAGACAATCTTGGCTCAAAAGCAGCCTTTAAATCCACTTCCCTTAGGTGATGTTATACACATGCACATCCTGTTAATGTTTTCCCCTATTTGTAAAATGTATCTCATAAGTTAGATAGTTGAAATAAATATCTGCAGTTTTTGTTATTAATCCTGATATCATGTCTGAAATGTGCTTTTTACATTTTCTTAAAATAAAAAAAACTGTATTTAAACCAGTCTGCTTCCTTACCAGATGTGTGGTAACCATTGACAGAGCTGCCAACATATTCAGAAAAACTAAATAAAAACATGTGTCTGTCACACATTTGTTAAATGCCTGCAGCAGAAAATGTGAATTGTCTACCAACCATGAATGTGGTTAGACCTCCATCCAGTGGAAGAAAAGTTGATGTACACAAAACCTTTTATATATATAACTGTAAAAAGCACACATATTATAATATATATCATTTTCATATAAGCAGTGACCACAAACACAACATACAATCACAGTTTGTCGTTTTCTTTTTTAATGCAACGTATTTATTGGTCTGAACACTTTGAAGAGTGAGGAACACATCATTGTCAGCGAGTTAGAGCAAATGTAGACCTTACACTGAAGTTAGTCCAAACAAATCACACCCAAGTATTAGAATATTTGCTGCGTTGCACTTCCCCTCTTAACAAAGCATGCATTTTAAGCTTTTTGAGATAAGATTTGATTGAAATGAAATAGAAGGAAATAAATAATGTATTGGAGAGATTTCTTTACTGTGGTTTACCTCTAGACGGTGCTGTCACTTCACCCATTTTAACTCTATTTGTTTACCTTTTTAGCAGAGCTTATTGTAAAAAAAAGACATAATCTATTAAAAACAACTTTATTTGCGCAATAAAATACAATCCAATACAGTACTTTTGAAGGTTTTGTAATTGATAGCAGAAATGTTCATTCAGTCTTCATGTAATCATTACGCTTGAGGTGGTTTAACTTATATCAGTGAGCAAAGCAAAGTTTGTGTTTGAGGAGGGTGAGAAAGACAAGGAAACAGTTCCTGTACAACATCACAAATAAGAGCTCGTTTTGTCTTTATTGACCCAAACGTTGTCACACATTTTGCAAACATGTAACAGGTTATTGCATCTCTATTGAATTTGTAAGGTAGTTCAGA